GCAAGACCCTGTACTAAATAAATTTAAAAATTTAATAAATAAATAAATGGATTTCCTAGGGGCCAGGGAAATAGCTCAGTAGAATAAGCACTTGAGTTCAATCCTCAGTTCTGCAATAAATAAATAAATAAATAAATAAATAAATAAATAAATTTCCTCCTTTATACTATAAAGTTTTTCCCGATTCCCTAAATATCTGCTCACATCATGTCTGATGACCTCTTAGACCCGTTATACAGATTCTATCATATTTTCATAACCAGCCCTGTGTGCTTGGACATTGGTGCTATTTCCAGTTTTTCACAGTTAAGTGAAAATTACCCAGGGCTGGTCAAATAGCTCAGCGGATTAGAGTACTGCAAGCAGGTGCAGGGGCTGGGGGCTTGATCCCCAGGCCTGCCGTGCCGGCCCCGCCCCCGGGGCACCTGAGACAGCAATTGAGACTGGCGAGGTGGCGTGCAGCTACAATCCCAGCTCTTGGGAGGCTGTAAACAGGCAGATCGCTATGAGTTCGATCTAGTAGTGAGACCCTGAACACCCTGTAGACCCTTCCCTAAAATTTAAAAAAAAAAAGAAAAGAAAGAAAAATGTCCAGGGCCGGGGATGCGGCTCAGTGGCATAAGTACCTGCCCAGCAAGTACAAGGTCCCGAGTTTGGTCCCCAGTACCGCAAAGAAAAAAAAAAAGCGCATGACGCTATGTCTGTTAGCCTTTAGGTGACAGTCTTCTGAGGGTAAATCCACAGCTGGGGATTCAAGAGTCAAAGGATCTATGTATGGTGTCACACACCTGTAGTCCCAGCTGCCGAAGGGGATTAGGAAGGAGGATTGAAAGTTTGAGTTCCGCCCAGGCAATTTAGTGAGACTCTGTCTCAAAATAAATATATAAAAACGGTAAGATTAAAAAAATAAAAAATAGGGCTGGTGAGATGGCTCAGTGGTCTAAAGCACCTACTTAGAACAAGCTTAATCAAAGCACAGGGACCGCGGTTCAATCCCCCAGGACCACATGCCAGCCAGCCCCGCCCACTGGTGGGCTGAGCTGGACACACACACACACACACACACACACACACACACACAATAAAATTTAAAAAATAATAATAAAAAAATAAAAACGGTAAGATTGTAACTAACTCAGAGCTCCCTGGACTCAATTCTCAATACTCCTAAAAAAGGTGGGAGTGAGAACCTGGACATATAAGTTAGCAGGTGCGTCTGCTGTCCCGAGTTGTCTTTAGCAACACGCAAGCGCAAGCACGCACACATGCGTGCCGAAACAAAAGACTTGCCTTGTACAAAGCTCACACCAACCCCCACAGCGGCAGGTACTATGTGCGACTGCAGTTCCCCACATCCTCACAAATATTTTTATTTATTTATTTATTAAATATTTATTTATTGTGTGTGTGTGGCCAGCTCAGCCCACCAGGGGGCGGGGCTGGCTGGCATGTGGTGCTGGGGGATTGAACCGCGGTCCCTGTGCTTTGTGTAGCTTAGTTTGTTCTAAGTAGGTGCTTTAGACCACTGAGCCATCTCACCAGCCCCAAGATTTATTTATTTATTTATTTATTTAATTTTATTTATTTTTTTGGCGGAACCGGGAATTGAACTTAGGCCCTTGCAGTTGCCAGGGAAGCGCTTATTCCACTGAGCCATCTCCCCGGGCCCTAAATATTTTTAATGTTAGGGGCAACTATATATATATTTTTTCTTTTTTTTTTTGGCAGAACCAGGGATTGAACTCAGGCCCTTGCAATTGCCAGGCAAGCATTTATTCTACTGAGTCATCTCCCCGGCCCCAAAATTATTTTATTTTTTTGTGGTACCAGAGATTGAACTCAGGACCTTGCTCTTGCCAGGCAAGCACTTATTCTACTAAGCTATCTCCCCAGCCCTGGGGCAACTATATTTTGGGATTACGTATTTTCATCTCCGCCTCTCACTAGAGGGGACTTAATTAGAATCACTCCATTTTAAATTCCGGGGGCCAGGGAGATAGCTCAGTAGAATATGTGCTTGCCTGCCAGGCACAAAGGCCTAAATTCAATCCCTGGTTCCACCAAAATAATAAATAAATAAATAAATTCCGGAGTGTGTGTGTGTGTGTGTGCAGCTCAGGGATAATGTGTGTACCTAGCATGTGCAAGGCTCTGGGCTGGATCCCCTGGACTAAAATAAAATAAACTTCAGCCCCTTGCGTAGGAGTTGGCCCCTGATCTGATGCTCAACTCAGAGAGGGTATAGCTGCCCCACCTTGCAGCCCAGCCTGTTTACAGCCTCCCAAGAGCTGGATTACAGGCTTGTGTCACCACACCCAGTCTCAAGTGCTGGCTCGGCACGCCCCGGAGGCAGGGCCGGCAGAGCAGGCTGGGGGATCGGATGCAGCATACATTTATCAAGACCCTGCTTGGGGGGCCTGGCCTTAGCTCAGTTGTTTAAGTGGCTGCTTCCACAAAGCTGTCAGCCGCAGGTTGCTGTAGTTCGATTCCCACAACACTCCAGCCAGCCAAACCA